CCGGCGGTCTGGCCTACCACCAAGAACACGCGGCGGCTGGCTGGCTGGCTGCGGCCACACTACTCAAGTGTGAACAAAAAGGTCCATGCTTCTCCCCCCTTTCGCTTTCTTTTCCGCCCAGCCCAGCCATGTAAAAGCAACAGTAGCAATTAGATCTTGGATTCGTCTCATCACTTCATCAGGAGTAATAGCGCACGTAGCAGCAGGAGTAGGTGGGCAGCAGGGAGCAACCTCCTCGTGGTGCCCTGCATGTTTCACAGCTCTCCCACGCGTTTGCTTCAAGCATTGACCGGGGACCGAATGCATTACCTGTTCACTTGATGATACACAGCATCAGCCGGCTTATAAGCCGTATCAAAGTCCACTGCCTGTTCTTGACCCCTTCCCGTCATCTTCCCCACCTGTCTCTGCAGGAGCTTGCGGTTTGAGCCTTGAGCGCGCGGGTGTGGCGGTGGCGGCCGTGACCGACGCCGGAGATCTTGGGTGCGTGCGGGATCCTGGGCTGGACTCTGTTTCTGAAGACGCCGCCCGCCACCCTGTTTTTTAATCCTATAATAAGGTGAGTTTGGGCTTTTGGTGCTGCTGCTTCCTTGCTTGTGCTGAATCTGCTCTATTTGTTTCTAGTTCGTAATATGTTTCAGTTTGTTGATTGATGGATTCAGTTGAAGTTTGGAGATGAGGTTTCTTTCCTAGCTAGATCCTGCGGCATTTATGAGACCATGGTTGATTGGTTCTCCTTTTGATCTGGTCTTGCTTGGTTTAGTAGCGACCTCTATTTCTTTCTGAATGCACCTGTTACCACCGTAACATAACTATCCTGGTGAAGCATCCAGTTTTCTCTGTCTTTGCTAAAAAAAAAGGATATAGGTAATACAAGCAGAAATCATCTTGGAAGGACGGATACATGTGACTGGTTTTCTTTTGCTGCATATGTTTACCGAGTCCATTGCTCTGATGAACTGAATAACTGATCTCCTGTACCATTGCAACATGTACCTTTGTTTGAATTGGAAGTCATTATATCATATTGTTATTAATCCAACTAACAGGACTAGCTACCTTCCAAGGATTTGTACATTAATCTCTTGATTCGGATTACCTTCAATAGTAGGCTGCTGACATTATTGTCTATTACATGCTGATGCTGCACTATTCTAGCCTTGATTACTTAATGCTGAGTTCACCTCAAATATTGCCGTATTTTTTTTTCTGTAATATTTGTGACTGCTACAATTACTGTTCCTGGTGCTGCACATTCTCAATTTTCAGAGAGTTTCTTCAACCGATACCACTTCTAGCTTCCCTCAAAGATTTGTGAACTATGAAGCCGCCTTTGGAGAGGAACCCTACTAAGAAGCGCCACTCTTGGTGGTGGGACAGTCACATTAGCCCTAAGAACTCGAAATGGCTTGCAGAAAATCTCGAAGGTAAGCGAAACAACAGCCAACAGATTTGATAGGTGCTATTTTTAGATTTAAATTTGCTACATTTGTTATTCCTGGTACTTGGTACTAGTCAAATTATGTCAATGCATGCATAGGTACAGTACCATTTTCTGATTGCCTATTTCACAGAGTCACAGAGATGAGCATAAATGAATAATAAACCAAAGGGAGTGCAATATTTATACTTCCCATAGTACTCTCTCTCCATATGTACATACAAAATATCTTAGTTACAGTAGGGTCTTCTGATCTGAACCCATGGCCTAGAATGGGATGTCATGTAAATGATGTGTACATACTTTCCATTGCTAGTTGTTGTTCGGTTCGTATTGGTAAATGTGTATAGCCTTTTGTGAGTGTTCCTGGTAACTGGTAACATAATAAAAAGAAAACAGGAGTACACGTTTAATTTTAACAGAAACTGGCAGTGGAGCGAAAGTAATGCTGTTTTTGAGTACGTGCATATAAGAAATTGTGTATTTCCTACTGTATGATACTGTTTTTTTATGCTTTATCCATTCTTCCCTGAACTCAAACATGCAGAAATGGACAAGCAAGTGAAGGAAATGCTCCAGCTGATCGAGGAAGATGGCGATTCCTTCGCTATGAAAGCACAAATGTATTACCAGAGGCGTCCAATGCTCATCACCCATGTCGAGAATTTCTATCGTATGTATCGTGCTCTAGCTGAGCGCTATGACAATGTAACCGGTGAATTGCGCAAGAACATCCCTACAAGGCTGCAATCGACGGGATCTTTAACCAGTTCAGAGTATGGTTCTGAGCTGCAGAGGTCACCCTCACCATCTCCTGAGCCATTACAGAGGTCATGGACAAGGGAGCAGAGTCCTAGAGCTGCTGGCTTCGACTTCTTCCTGAGCAACAGGAACAATGACTCACCTGCCTCCAGGAAGGAACCTGAGGACTTGGCCTCACAGTCAGAGTCTGATGCGAAGTCTGAAGATGGTGAGGATGATGGCATTGCCTACACGCTGCATCAGAGAGTTCTTGAACTAGAGGACGAACTCAATACGACAAACCAGAAACTACAAGATGCAAATGAAAAGCTTGAGGTTTTGGAGGAGAAGAGCTTGAGGTGCCATTGTGACTATAAAGTGAATGGAAATGGTGCTGAGAAAACTACAGAAGTTTCAGACAAAGAGAGGGAGCTGGAAGCTGAAATTGTCAATCTCCAGGAGCAAGTGGATTCAGCAAGAAGGCGATTTGAAGAGGCATTGTCTGAAAGAGATGGAGAAATCAGCAAGTTAAAACAAGAGCTTGCTGATGCTTCTGAAAAGTTGCTGCAAGAGAAGCACGCTAATGGCTTGCAGTTATCTGAGCTGCAACAATCAGTTGAATACATCAGGTCCAAACTAGAGAAAGTTTCTGAAGAGAAACTACTGGTTGAGAACAAGGTTAAGGAGTTGGAGGCAACAAATGCTGAAGCTGATAAGTACGGTCACGAACTAACCCAAGCAGCTGAGAAGCTTTCAGAGGAGAAGTTCAGGCATGAAGCTGAGATTCTCACGATGCGGCAGAACATTGAAGACCTGAAATCCAGAATCGAGAGCCTTGCTCGAGAGAAATCCCTGCTTAAATCATGGTTTGAGGACCTCGAGCAAGTTGTGGGGCGAGGAAGGAGCATTTTCGCCGAGTAACCAAGTTTTTATCCAAAACATCAGTAGCTAGAATTTAGCAAGCTAGCAACATTTTATTTTATTTTCTCATACGCATACCATCTTGCGAAATTAAGATATGTCAATGTACTTCCCTTTTCCTTGCTGGATCTTTACTGGATGGTGGTGATGTACTGGCAATATATGAGATATTATACTGAACCGTACTCCACGGCAATAAAATTCCCATGGTGCGTCTAAAAGTTCTGTCTCAATGCACGTTCAGTCCAATTACTGCTACTGTTCGTATTGTTTGAAAACCACTGTTCATTCCTAAGGGCGCTTCAAATGTTCAAAGAAGCTCCGGTGGAGACCTGAGGCGCACATCATTCGTGTGCAGGGGAGGATGAATGTTGGTGGGGGTGCTCACCGGCACTTCATCATGGTTCCTATCAACGACGACATGTCCTGGAGTAGCTATGTCAAGGCAGTTTTCAATGGGACTGAGTGGAGTTGTCTTGGAAATTTATGTTCAAGCAGAAAGGCGTTCCTTTGCAGAGGCTATTTCCTTAGAGCTGGCACTAGTGGCTACTGAACCAGCAGATTTTCAATACCAAAATGCCCAACCTCAACATCCAGAACAGGGTTCTTTTGCTGTTCCTTCGATGGCAACGGTCAGTCCACCAAATGAGCATTCTCATTGTGCTCGACTGAAAAAGCCTAGAAGGAGCACCAGGACCTATGCAAACAATGTTGGTCAGTTTGGAAGTGCAGAAGTTCAGTCTGGTCAAGATCAGAATGGAGCTTCAGAGACCACTGACACAACTCCTTATCCTTTGATTGGGTTGTATGATGCAGATCATCGTGCTCGTGCTTTAGCATCAGGCCAGGTTGATCAAAGAGAATCTATAGCATTTGTGTTGTACTGTATGTTATTGTCATCTAATAAATAATAACAAACCACTGATTTCTGTAAGGCTAATGTGGCTGGTGAACTTCTGTAAGGCTGGACTGCCCTCCATTGATCCTGCACTGCACTTGTCTCTGCACTATTTGATATAGGTGGAGACCAGAGACTCCCACCTTTCACATGCCCTGTGTTGAGGTCACAATCACACTACAGGATGTTGCAATGATTCTTGGACTTCCTATTGCTGGTCGTGATGTTGCACGGATCCTTTCTCTAGTAAATGGAGCATTTTCCTTTTCTGCTTGGTGATGGATCCCTAGTGATCCGCATCTTTTACCAAGACAAGAGTATATATAGAAATACAGATAGTTTTGTTTATATGGCGTTCCGTGGATAGGAATTGATTGTTATATATATGGCATTTTGCGGGTAGCAAATGTTCGACATTTTGATCGAGAAGATTAATTGCCTTTTATTCGATCGTGTGCCGATCGATGAAGGAAGGAGAAGCAAGTTACTACTCCGTATATAAAGGGCGGAGCAGAGGCCAATTATATATTAGCTAGGACTAGGACTAGGATCCATCTGATCTACAGCATATGAGTACACGACAACACGTACGGTGGACGACTAGCCGTGGCAGCAGCAGGGCCGGCGGGCATCATCGATCGACAACCATGGTGCCATCGGCGGCGGCGGCGACGACGAACCGGGAAGAAGAAGAAGCGACGATGAAGTTGAAGCCGCAGGTCGACGAGGAGGAGAAGAGGAACAAGCAGATTATTATTCCCCGTGCGTTTCAGTGGATAATGGCGGCGTCCTCGTCGTCGCCGCCGGCACTGACGATCGAGGAGGCGAACAGGAAGCCGGGGATGCGCCGCGCCGGGTTCTGGTTCTGTGCCGTCTACATGCTGCCTCTCTGCATCGGCGTCGCCTCGTTCCTGGCCTACGATTTCCACAGGAACGACCACATCTTCCCCAGAAGCGCGCCGTGGCGGCCGGCCTGCCGTCGTCGCGTGGGGCGACTACATGGCGCTGGTGATGGAGCTGTTCTTTTTCATGTCCCTATTCCTGCCCCGCGCGCCCGTCGCCCTGCGGGACGCTGTCGTCAATGTCGGCGTGGGCTGCGTCGGCGTACCACTGTGGTGGATCATCATCCTGGCGGCATGCGTTGGTGGCCACACCTGGATGTGCGTCGTCCTGGCTTTCGTCTTCGCTGAGATCATCGATCGGCTTATTTAGCTGGTCGCTCTGTCTCAAAATATCCATCGTTTTCGCTTATCGAGAAACAACTTTAACAAAATATATATTAAAAAATATTAATATTTATGATACATAATTGGTATCATATGAAAGATTTTTAAATTTAGTTTTTTAATAAATTTATTTAGAAATACAAATGTTGCACCTATTTTGTATAAATGGAGTCAAACTTGCGGCACGGAAACCAAAAGCGACAGATAATTTAGGATGCAGAGAGTAGCTTAGATTTCATTACCATGCATATATATACAAATCTTTCGGAGGTGCTGAGGTAGAATCCAGGTAGTACATGAGTAGTTATTAAAGTTCTGGTTCATAACAAGTCACTCGATGATGTGTTTTTTGTCGACCAGAAGTTCTTGCAAGGCCCGAAAATGTACATTAGAGCAAAGAATTGTTTTGCATAAGCCTAGAAGCTGTTGATGTGGCTCGTCCTTGGCCTTAATGCAGAATCGGTGTTGGAAGCTCAACCCAAGCCTTATTTCAAGAAGCATCGTGAAAATAGATGAGTGATAACACAAAGAAGACCAAATGGGATGACAAACTGGTCGCTTTATGCTCCCAAACGACGCAGCCCAAGGTGTGGCATGAAATGTGGGGAAAAATGGGGTAAGCAACATAAATGCCCGGAAGGTTGGGGGAAAAATGGGGTAAGCAACATAAATGCCCGACAAGGTTTCTCTGAATGTTTTGGAAGAATTCTTTGACATCATTCACCAGAGCAACAAGGCGGTGAATCCTCCGATGAATCCAAAGAAGATGAAGATCTTGAGATGTGTTTGTCCCGTCTCGGTGTGCTCAGGAAGGCGTTCAAGGCAAGAAGACAATCAAACTTTCGGCATTGTGGACAAGCAGGAAATCTTAATTCGCAAACGCTTTTTGAAAAAAATTATTCATGCGTTAGTTTGTAACGGGAGCCAAAAGTTAGAAAATAAAAAAAAACAGAGATCGATTTTCTCCGAGTCTAGGTTCGTTACCTGCATACACGAGAGAGAAGTCTTTTTAGGGGGCAGGCTACACGGTGGTCAACCGCTAGATAATTATCTAGTGGTCACTGTTTATTACTCATTCTATTTTAAACTATAAAACATTTTAATTTTTCTATTTACTTTTACTAAACATTTAGATAAACACTATGTCTAGCATATCAAAATCACTGTAACCTTTCTTCCTCTTCTTCCTTCGGTTTCTTTCTTCCCCACTTACCTCGCCTACTAGACAACTGCTCCAGACGGTGCTTCATAACTGTATACATATATTGCTCGTCCAGTGCATTTGGCGTGGAATCACGTTTACGAGTCTATCGATTCCGTGTAGTTTATGTGACCAAAAATAATGTTGTGACATTACAAACTGTAGGAGCAATCGAGAACTGGTAGTTGTGCAAAGTTCTGTACACTCTCTACAATTTTGCTTATTTTTTTTCCGATAATGATATGATGAGGACTTTCGTCCCGGACGTGCTCCCTTAAAACAAATCCCCATCCGCTCTTCATTCCCCGCGCGTCCCTTGCAGCGCCTCCGCCCGCCACCGGCCCCTTCTTCCCGTCCCCTGCCCAGCCAAAGCTCCCCGTCGGCCCCTTCTTCCTAACCCCGCTCGGCCAGAGTTCGTCGGCAGCCACCTGCGCCTGCGGCCGGTCCCTTCCTCCCAGCCAGAGCCCGCTGCCCGCTGGCCTGTCCCCGCCTTCCCTTCTGCCCACCCGCGACAGCGGCAGCCCGCATCCTAGCCAAAGCTCGCCGGCGGCTTGTCCCCACCACCCCCTCCGCTCACCTCCAGAAGGGGCCGCAACAGTGCTGCCCTCCGCCTATCCATCCCCCGCTTGCGCTGGCTTGTATGGAAGAAGGGTGAAAAACGTATGTTGCTGTGGAACATAGTCCCCGAGTACCCCGCAAAGAAGGAAAAAGATCTAGTCCAACTAGGAATTTCCCATATGTAATTCTAGTAACATTAATATCCTGTAATCCTACTAGGACTCTTACATTGTAACCGACTAGGAGACTTACCTCCTAGGCTATATAAAGGAGGGCTGGGCTGCCTAGATCGGCAACCCAATAGGAACAGACCTCACGGTCTAAACCCTAAAGCGCAGGGCGCAATATTCTATTTACCCTAGATTGGACGTAGGACACTATTTCGGCGGACCGAACCAGTATAAATTGTTGTCTCTGCGTTCACCGTCGAGTTCTACATACGCCAAAGCCTACCAACCATCGTCCCGGGTAACCCCGTGACGAGTTGTCGGTCATTAAACACCGACAACTGGCGCGTCAGGTAGGGGCTTTCGACGTAATTGCAATCAAGAGCTCAAAGGACCTCAACTTCAAGATGACGTTCTCGGCGAGATCAACCTTCACCAACATCATCCACGACAAATTGACATCACCACGGCGCCCGTCAGCAGCTCGCAACGGGATTCCGTGTCTCGATAATTCGCGGCAACATGTTATCGTGCGTGGAGATACGGAGTTTATTAATCTGCAATCGCCGGTGTTCAGCAATATAATCCCATGCACCGAGCTCGTTGGGATCAACGGCAGGAAGCAAGTCGGCGAGGCCCGGAGACTTTAGCTGCAGCAGCGGTTTTCTAGATCTGATCTTAAAACTCACAACGAGATCGGGGGACAAACTTGGCCTGCATGTATCCCGTATCGACGAATACGAAGTCAAAGCTCCAGCCAAGCATCAACGCCGAAGACTTAAAAGCTGCACTGCACCATCACGTGATGATCTACATCACCATGCATGCAAGCAAATTACTTTCTCGTACATCAAGCAAGCAAGGTCACGCTCGATCACGAGCCTGCGGCCTTGGCGCTCTCTCCCTCGCTCGTCACTACGTCTCCGACCGGTCATCTCGAGGAGCCCACGATGGTGGCCGTGGCGTGCGGCCCCGCGGCGAGAAGGCCGTGTCCGAGGCGTACCACGCCATTGCCAACATGGCGAGCCCGGCTTGGGATCGTAGCGAGCGTGCACGGGACCGTGCCGGTGGAGGGAGTCCCCACGGAAGGACTCTACTCGGATAAGGAGGCAACGATACGCATGTACCCGGTTGCGGCCACGTGAGCTCATACGCAGGCGCGCTCGGTTCCAACCTCGCTGGTAGACCGAGTAGTGGCCTCGTCGACCCGCCTACAACGACTACAGAGTACTTGGACCCGAGTCCCAAGTATTCAAAATCAGTCAGCAACTACTCGGCTACGCCTAGAGTCTATCGGAGAGGAGTCCTGACTAGTCGGCTTCATCATCAACCGACTACTCGGCCGCGGTGTCTGACTACTCGGCCGACTTGGACCCGAGTCCCAAGTATTCAAAATCAGTCAGCAACTACTCGGCTACGCCTAGAGTCTATCGGAGAGGAGTCCTGACTAGTCGGCTTCATCATCAACCGACTACTCGGCCGCGGTGTCCGACTGTATCCAGCCGAAGCAAGCTGTCCGATTGCATTAAGCCGTCGCTACACCACATCCGACTACTCGGATGCTATGGCTCATCGGCTACTCCACTCGGCCACTGATCATGCTAAGAAGCTTTAATATTTTTCTACATATTCTTTAATTTTCATATATCTCCGGATATTACACATGTGCCTCCGCGGCCATATAATAGTTGCATTCTGACTACACGTACAGCTCCGAGCTTGTAGTCAGAACAATAACTAATGGATGTACAATATGTGCTCCGCGTGCATTCTCTTTCTTTGCGCAGCGCCGACTGCTCTAGTCTTTTCTTAACGGTTGTAAAAATACTTGAGTAGTACGAACTCACATTTATGACGCACTATTTACTCGCACGGCTCACATGGTTACCATCATGAACCTCACGACCATACACCGGAGATACAAGTGCTTACAAATACGGGGTCAACTACCTCCCTGTAATTTACACAACCTAGCAAGAGCAAGACGCGAAAAAATCCTACATGCATTTCATAATGATGGGATATGCTCCCAACTTGTTATTTTACATGCATACATCTTATAATACTGGGACCAGCTCCCAACTTGATATCCTAAATATCAATAACTACAAAATTTTGTATATTTTGCCTTGCAGGACCGGGTCTCGACACCACGATGGTGGCCGTGGCGTGCGGGTGGGTGAGGACGAGAGACACGTTATGCCAAGTTACCTCTACTTGGAGGCGTCGCTCATACCGGCCCACATACGGGCAACCTTGTCCCTCGCTGGTAGACCGAGTAGTGGCCTCGTCGACCCGCCTACAACGACTACAGAGTACTTCCGTCGCTTTGATCAACTACTCGGCTACTTCTAGAGTCTCCATGGCTTCATCATCAACCGACACTAGGCCGCAGTGAGGCTCGACCATCAATCACGGCTTAGCCGTCGCTCACCACTCCGACTACTCGGATGCTCTCATCGAAGATGGAATTCTAGGAAGGAGTTCATCAGCATACTACATCTCGACGATGCAACATGCCACGCTTTTTCCAGATTTTTCATCACACTACGTTAGATATGCTTTGTAGGGGCGGTTACGGTCATATAGAACCGGAGATACCCTACAAATACGGGGTCAATACCCCTGTAATTTACACAACCTCAAAAAATTCAAATTACATGCATTTTAAATTTGACTTGTTATTTTACATGCATACATCTTATAATACTGGACACACATACATATATATATATACTTGTATATTTTGCCGCTCGGGACCAGGTCTACACCACCACCGGGTGAGGGGCAACCTTGTACCCTACTTAGGCGTCGATTACGGGCAACCTTGTCCCGCTTTGATCTTCCGTCGCTTTGATCAGGCTTCTTCGCCTCCATGGCTTAGTCGCCACTAGGCTCGGAGGCTCGACCATCGTCACGGCTTAGTCGTCTCCACTCCGACTGCTCTCACGAAGATGGAATTCTAGGAAGGAGTTCATCCAGCATACTACATCTCGACGATGCAACATGCCACGCTTTTCCAGATTTTTGCAACATGCCACGCTTTTTCTAATGGGCATT